TTCAACATTTTAGGATCTCACCCTTTTGCTAGTGGAACAACAAAAGCCAGGTCAATGGAATGAAATGAACCTTTTTAGCCAACTGTGTCTGAACACATCGGAATTAGACCTCCGCGTTTAACCCATCCGTGCACCACATACACACTAGTAAACACACACACTAGGGGGCAGTAAGCACACTTGCCGGAGCGGTGGGCAGACCTATCCACAGCGCCCGGGGAGCAGTTGGGGGTTAGGTGCCTTGCTCAAGGGCACTTCAGTCACGTACTGTCAGCTGAGGGGACAGTAGGAATTTCTTATGTAGCTAATCAAAGATTAAAAATATAAACTAAAGGTGCAACAATAACATCAGCTGCTAACTTTAAAAACAATGGCCCTCATGCTCCAATCGTTCTTAAGAAGACATTTCTTCTTAAAACGCACTTATGCAGTTTTCATGAAGATTTGGACATTCACCAATGTTTTCTTGTTTGGGATTTGTTCTTAGGTAAGAACATAATCTACACACACTCATGAGCACAAAGGTGCGATTAATTCTGCAGCTTAAGAACACATCATAAATCTGATGTAGACTTTTTCTTAGGACCCTTCTCAAGAACAAATTTAAGAAAAAACTTAGATACTGAAGATATTTATGAATGAGGCCCAATGGATCTACATTATCAGATCCTGCTGATTTATTTATGTCTAAAAGCTTAAGAGCTTTATGCACTTCAGAACTAGAGATCTGTTTAAACTAAATGACAAATTTCCACTATGGTTATTGTCAGTATTAATATCATCAACATTCTGGATTTCAAGGTTTAATGAATTGAATAAAGATCTAACCACAATAAACTTGTTGAAGGAACTCAGAATTCACCTTTGTCTGAAATTCTATTGCCATTTTTTTATAATGCAGGGTGGAAATTCTGTAGCATCTTCATATTAAGAATTACTGGGAATTATAATTTCAGAAAGATAATAATTAGCTTTAGATTTTCTAATTGCAGCTGTGCACAATTTTGTAATTGTCTAAAAAATCAACCAATCTGATTTATGACCAGTATGTCTTGCCTTTGCCTAAGCCACATCACACTCATGCAAAAGACTAGCTACATCCAAGTTAAGGCAGATTTTCATGACCTTTAACTCTATATTTTCAAAGGGTTCATGTCTATTAACAATTTCACTAAAACCATCATAAAAATATTTCCATTAATTTTCAACATCAGGGATAAAATAAATTCTTTCCCAAACTAAATGAAACAAGTCATGTATAAAAGCTTGCCCAACAAAACATTTCAAATTTCTTCTAACCAGAACGCGTAGCTTAGATTTCTGTACTTTTGTACCTCTGACAGTGGCAATAACACACCGATCACTGTCATTTTCAAAAACTGAAGCTATGAGCTGAAGGTGTCCTGTAACAACCAAGAATGGTGAGCTGATTTAGAGATCACCAGTTCCAGAGCCAACAATTTGAACTGCCTACTAACAGACTTTGGGAAAAAAAACATGTTTACTTGATACCTACTTTTAATATAAATTACAATGCCCCCACCCCTTTTTGGCTAGTCAGTCTTAAATAAATTATATCTTTCAATATGAATGTCCTAAATGAATGTCTAAAACTGATTTACTAAGCCAAAACTCTGAAAAAAAAACCCTTCAGCCCCAGTGGTCTTAGCCCAGGTTCAACTCGAATCCATCATATCGAATTGTAGTGTAGAAGAAACATTGCGCGTATGAGTAAATGTTCGTTTACTGAATAGGCCCTTCAACAGCCAGCAAGAAACCCAGCCATGAAAAGCTTCCCTGCTATCCGAACATGAAACACAGGGAGGACACAACATACGAGGAGGGCAGACACTTCTAACCACTAATTACACTTCAAAGCCCACCCTCCACGGACACAATTACTCTAACAACATCAACTACCTCCACAATAACAGCAATAATAATCCTTTTTAACCGGGAGCATGTCGGCCCCGAGAGTCACTCTGCATGGCTACAACCCGTAAGCGCCTCACGGCAGTGCAGTCCACAGTGGACACCACATCATTTTAGCTGGCTGGCTAGGTTGCTAGTTATGCTAACTGGTTACCACCAAATAAGCTGAACTATTTGTTAATCTTTGTGCTTTGTGAATCTTACCAAATAATGCCGCTCATTTGTTGGTAACCAATTAGCATAATTAGAAAGTTAGCCAGCCCGCTAACATTAACATGCTAGCTGTTCGAGGACCTTGTTAGCTGTGTTAGCCTTCTGTTAGGGATGGGAGGCAATACCAAAAATAATCAGTTCATCAATTCCAGGCCTTCAAGAATTGAAAGTCAGCCATATATATTCTGCTGTCACTGTCTAGACAGCCAGTCCACAACACATACATTGATAGTCGAGATATATTTTACTTTACACAACATGGAAAACAAAGTAAAATATAAAATTTGTAACAAAATATTGGCTTTCAATCAAAAAAAAACATTGCCAGTGCCAAAACATCTACCCACCTGAATAGTTAACAGAGAAGAATCAGGTTCAGCTTACCCTGCCCTGTTAACCAGCTAGGTTAATTTAGCTATCATTAGCTAATTAATATTATCATCAATATTATAGCTATAGCTAAGTCAAATGTAATTAATATTGCACTCCTTGTTTTTACCAGATGTCCTTTTCCATGTCATGGTCTTTGGAATTGAGGTTATTATGTGGAATTCCTATCAAACGTTTTGGAATTCAAATGGTTATAGTCACATCTAGTTTTACACAAGAGTATTTACATACTGCTGCAGTAACTACTTTCTTCTCACACTCTGACATTATCATTATAAAGAATGTAACAGTGACTGCTGGAAAAATAACACAAAGATGCAAACATAAATAACGTCATAAATTATACATATAGCGCAGAAAACATATATATGAAAAATAGTGTCAAGGTGAACAGACATCATGTCTCAGGCAACTCACAATCTGCAAACGAGTGAACGTTTCAGCATGTAAAGCTGGCCTAAGGATGTAGTATGTAAAGTTGGGACTGCAATGGCATGTAGTTAAAGTGTGTTGTCAGAAGCATGGTCATGCATGGAGACATGAGCAGCGGTGGGTATGGCTGGACTCAGCTGGGCTCCTGAGGTGTTTGGACCCCTGAGAGTGCAGAGTTTCCCCTGGGTAATGTCACCATGCACTGCTGCCCACACCACAGCTGACAAAGAGGCAGCAGGCCAGTCTACCCCTGTCTGAAACCTTCGTCATGGTATACAGAGGAACTATATTGGGACTGAGAGCTAGAGGCATGCTGGAGCCAATCCCGGGTCTGTGAATGAATTCATTTGGGCAGCTTTCATAAGCTACCAATATGTCAGCTTCATACAGTGCGGATGACAAATTAAAATATATTAGGTTAGAAATAAAATTAGAAGATTTCTCTGCAGTTTCTTAGCCTGAAGAAAATGCATTTTTTTTTGCAAAAATCATACTCTACCAGCATATGGAGATGTTTTTGGGCAGATTATTGCTCACACTCAGTTCTAAATCTACATTACCCCATTGAATTCCCAGGCTTATTATATCCTAAGGTTTATTTATGTCCCCCTCAACCACCACGATCTGTTAGCTTTCTATGCTTTTCACTAAGTCACGAGTATTCTTTAAGACTGGCCAACTGACAGACAGCAGCACAGTCAGCAGTCATGATGTCACACTAGCAATTTTACCTTGCACTCTGTGTCTCCCCAGAGATCAGGAAAAGTGTGTGTGTGTGTGTAAGTGTGTGTGTGTGTGTGTGAGAGAGAGAGAGAGAGAGAGAAAGAAATGTGATTTTTGCTATGTTCCGACAAAAAGCATGTTGTTAATACATTCTTAATGTATAGTGTACGTTACAGCAAGACATTGTCATTGTCACCAGTCCTTACATTTCCTTGTTAAATGTAATGGTTTAGAAATGGTCCCCAAAAGAGATTCTGTTTTGGGGGGGGTGACGACAAATTGCTTGTAGTTACATCCCCCTTTGCAGGGAGGTAGAGAAGGACTGTTGTTTTATCATAGTCAATCAAGTCCTACTAGAGCTTACTACAAAGGAATACAGTGCGTGCATGTGAGAGATGGAGAAAGAGGGAGAGCAAGAGAGAAAGAGACTGAAAAGAAAATATGAAGGGGAAAGAGAAGATGGAGAAAAGACAACAGTAAAAAATGGTTAAAAACGATGAAAGCACAAGCAGCACAAAGAGTAAGAAAGGAAGAGTTGGAGAGTGTGCGCACAAGAGAGAGGGGGTGAGAGAGAGAGAGCCAGAGTGCAGAAGAAAGAGTGGAGGGGGTGGATGTGTTAATACACAGGAACACTGCATCAAACCAATGCACTGCTCTGAGCGGGATGCGTCAGCAGTACATTCACGTTTTCACTGAAGGACAAAAGGAGGAGATAGAGCGGAGCGGCTCGGGTGCCTGCAACCCCATCACGTAAAGAGAAAAAGAGAGAGAGAGAGGAGCCTGAGCACCAGGGAGGGGGGTAAGGACTCGCCACTGCCGCCGCCACCACCGCTGCTGCCGTCGCTGTGGACAGGATTCACCTCTGGGTGCATGTGTGTATGCATCTCTCCCTCGTTCGCTCTCTCTCCTCTTGCCTGCCCGCTTGCTTGCCTGCCTGTCCGGCTTCCACTGCAGACCCTCAGCCAGTCCACAAGCTTATGATCAGAAGCAGAAGAACTGCCACAACTTACTACCTCAAGATGCAGGAATAAAGGAATACCGCAAGATCTGCACCAAGGGACAAACTACGGACTCCTCTTCAAGACAGCTCTCCGAAATCAACAGTACGTCATACAGCAGGATCAATTCCTCCTTTTCTAATACTAAAAAAACAGAGGGAGAGAGCGAGAGAGAGAGAGAAAGAGAGAGAGAGCGAGCAAGAGAGAGAGAGAAAAGAAGAGAGAGTAAGAGGGAGAGCAAGAGCAAGAGAGAGGAGAGAGCAAGAGAGAGAGAGAGAGGAGAGAGAGGGAGAGAGAAAGAGAGAGAGAGACAGAGAGAGCGATCGCTAGAGAGCTTCACTGCTGCGCTGCTGCTGCCCCCCTTCCTCCCCCTTCCTGCTCCCGCACCACCACCCCCGAGCCCCCCTCCGGAGAAATTGACGGATTATTGCTAACTGTGCACGCGGCAGTCTGCTGCTGCTACGGTGACGGGCAGGAGAGCAAGGCGAGTTAAAAAAGCAAGACGGAATTACCGCAATGTGCATCTGTTAGCCTTTTTTGTATTCATCAGTGCATGGCTAATCAACTGGACAAGTGTTGAGGAGGGGGGTGTGCAACGGCAAAACTGAGAAGCGGGTTAGTCTTTAACAGAAAGGAAGAAAAACTGGAAGGACTCGGGATTTTATTCCCCACTCTACAAATTTTTCCCTTCTTTTTCCTCGCTACGTTTTTTTTAATGTGCTTGCAGTTCGGCTATGGAGTCTTGTGAAAAATGTTCAGTGGTATTCAGCGTCGGCTTCCAAGGACAATCAATGGGGGAGCTGAGAGGAGATCTTTTCCGATCTGACTGGATCCATGCACCTGCTTAGCTCACTGGGCCTTACCTCTTACACCAGTTTCTCTAAATGCTGCTTCTCTCTGGAATTCAAAGGAGCCATTTTGTCAAGCAGTTCACAGTCCACTTTACTTTTCTAACAAGAAATCTATCAAAATGTTGCAGAGGTCTTGCTGAAGCCGACCAGGCTTGCGCAAATTGAAAAAGGGATATTCAAAGGAGAATCCCTGCAAATTCCGTACTAATGAGGTAAGTTTTTCGGATTTATACTTCTTTCTTTGACTGACATCCTTGTTTCTTTCTTTTGGAATCATTTGCGCGCTTTTCTCCCCTCCCCTCTCTCCCTCACTCTGCCTTTCTCTTCTCTGTGTTTAACACAGCACCATCCTGCACTGTCGATGGAAAACAGAAGCAGTGTCTTGCTCAAACCAGGGTAGGGCCACTGTTCTCCATTCCCGAGCCGAATCCCCACACGATGTTGAATTATGAACGCGCCACATCATGAGTCTCTTGTGGCAGGTAACTGTGCACCGTGCCTGGAACGCAGCCCTGCTCTGTGCAGTCTACCTCATGGTGCGAGCGTGGAGTGTGTGCGCCGCCCCCACCGGACCGCAGAACTGCCCAGCCGTCTGCTCCTGCAGTAACCAGTTCAGCAAGGTGGTGTGTACCAGGCGCGGCCTGGTCCGAGTGCCCCCTGGCATCCCCACCAACACGCGACACCTCAACCTCATGGAGAACAGCATAGAGATAATCCAGGCTGACACCTTTCGGCACCTCCACCACCTGGAGGTGCTGCAGCTTGGCAGGAACTCCATCCGGCAGATTGAGGTGGGGGCCTTCAACGGTCTCACCAATCTCAACACCCTGGAGCTGTTTGACAACCGGTTGACCGTAATCCCAAGCGGCGCTTTTGAGTACTTGTCTAAACTGCGGGAGTTATGGCTCAGGAACAACCCTATTGAAAGCATACCATCTTATGCATTCAACCGAGTCCCCTCGCTCATGCGTCTGGATTTGGGAGAGCTGAAGAAACTGGAGTATATTTCTGAGGGTGCTTTTGAGGGATTATACAACTTGAAATACCTAAACCTTGGAATGTGTAATCTGCGGGAGATGCCTATTCTCTCTCCATTGGTGGGTCTAGAGGAGCTTGAGATGTCAGAGAACTACTTTCCGGAGATCAAACCTGGATCCTTCAGGGGTCTAAAATCTCTCAAAAAGCTCTGGATTATGAACTCCAGGATCACCACCATGGAGCGAAATGCTTTTGATGATGTCACAGCCTTGGTTGAGCTCAACCTGGCACATAATAACCTTAGCTCTTTGCCCCATGACCTTTTTGCGCCCTTGAGTTACCTAGTAGAGCTGCACTTGCACCATAACCCATGGCGGTGTGACTGTGACGTTGTGTGGCTGGCCTGGTGGCTAAGAGAGTACATCCCTACCAACTCCACATGCTGTGGCCGCTGCCACACCCCTGCACACTTACGAGGGCGATACCTAGTGGAAGTGGACCAGACTACCTTCCAGTGCTCTGCTCCCTTCATCCTGGATGCTCCACGGGACCTTAACATCTCTGCAGAGCGAGTAGCTGAGCTCAAGTGTCGTACAGCCCCCATGTCTTCTGTCAGATGGATTCTGCCCAATGGAACAGTTCTGACCCATGGCTCCAATCATCCCCGGATATACGTGCTCAATGACGGAACTCTAAATTTCTCCAATGTGCTGCCATCTGACACGGGTGTGTACACCTGTATGGTGACAAACATGGCTGGAAACTCCAATGCGTCGGCCTACCTGAATGTGAGCGCAGCTGAGCTCAACACCTCTGAGCACCTGAGCTACTTCACCACAGTGACTGTGGAGGTGGTGGAGCCCACATCTGAAGAGGTGATCAAACCGAAGACGGTCACGGCCTCGCCCTCCGTCTTCCAGCCTGTGTTTATCTCAACGCCAACTGTGCTGCTGCAGACACCCCGACAGGTCAGCGTGCCAACGGTCCGAGGAACAGTGCGCCCACCTGCCAGTTTAGATGAGGTGATGAAGACTACGAAAATTATCATTGGCTGCTTTGTTGCCGTCACACTGCTTGCCGCAGTTATGCTGATTGCGTTCTACAAGCTGCGCAAGCGGCACCAGCAGAGGAGCACGGTGGCAGCTGCCAGGACTATAGAGATCATTCAGATGGAGGAGGACGTTCCTCCTACCACCTCGGGGACGAGTATACCAGGTGAGGGCGGGATGGTGCTGCCAAGCCTGAGAGATCGTAACAGCACCTACAAACCCAGCTACAGCACCTACAAACCAGCACACTCTGCTCCCTGGACAGAGAACAACATTGGAAACTCTCTCCACCGCCCTCGGCCCACCACCATCAGCACCATCCCTGAGCCCTACTTGATTAAAACTCACACCAAGGAGAAGGTACAGGAAACCCAGATCTAATGTTCCCTTCTCCTTCTCCTCCTCTCTCCCTTTTTCTGTTCCTCATGAAAACATGCAATAGAATGCACAAAGAAAAGACAGCGATTACTTTTGTACCCAGTGCAAAAATGAGACTGTTTTTCTTGTACATGCTTATATATAAGTATATGAATATAAATATATAAATTAATCCACTATGGGATGGTAAGAGAAGCAGATTATATAAAAATGAAAAATGAATTTAAACTATTTTCTAACTTGTAACTTCTATTTAAGATGGAGATATGTGAAGATACTGATGTGACGCTGCAAATGAGGACAGACTTGTTTGAAAAGGGCACTCTGTGGTTTTTAGACAATGCTAGATAGGATCCGGTAAACTTTCTACATAAGTGTCCCCAAAACAATCTTTACAGGTTTATCTTGTAAAAGCAACAAGAATTTGTAATGTGCCAAATGTTATACATGCAATAAAAGAGTTTGGGTTTAAAGAGATATCAGAACAAAACACTGCAAAATATAGTCTATATTAAGGCTGCAAAAAGGAGCTTCTCCTGAGTCTGCTTTTTGGTAGCTATCAGCCAAATGGTTTTGGTCTAATGTGCTATTTTGCAGCAAGTGGTTAACTCTGTATTTGCCAAACTGCCAGACCTTGCAGTGAGAAGCAGTAAGGCAATCGGGTTCCTACTCTTTTTCCTTTAATATCCTTTTCGGCTTTAAATTTAGTTGAAACTTAACAGTTCTGGCCATTTCCTTCTCTGTTATTGGTTGCTTTCTCTATACTTTTAAAACCCCCCCAAATGCTTTCTTAAGGCTTGAGTGGCTTTTAGGGCTAAAATAGAGTAAACACGTTACAACAGTTGCCTCAGATTAGTAGTGTAAGGGCTCAACAGGATGTTCATTTGCAACAATGCAGAGATAGTTGCCATGACACGAAGGTTTACTGCAAGTTAAAATTAACATGACTGCTTACTATTTTTCTTTTGTTGAGAAGGAGATACAAATGAATGTGTGCATTATGGGCTGTCCTCTATGGTGATCGTTCAAACAGTGAATTCCTTTGTCCTTATTTTGAGCAACACTATTTTTATGAGGAGTCTACAAAGGTTACAACAATAAAACATTTGGTTTGTATTTCTCTAAACATAACTCTTTCCTCTCGCCTTTTTTTCTACATACCGCAGAGTGCGTGCACAGTTGTAATAAGTTTGCAAAAATTGTATGGAAGCAGCAGAGATTATGCTCCTCTGTCAAATGTCATTTCAGAATGTACTATGTTTGTGTCTGCAGTTCCAGTGCGCAAGAATTTCACAGCCCATTTTGCTGAATCTTATTTGGTGATAAACTGCTTGCTGGGAAGATTCTAATCTTTAGCGTATCTGCAATGGCATATGGCCCCAGTAGTGGCTGCAAAAAATGCATACTACTGAAATATGGAAACAAGTTAATGACAAGCAGAAGCGTGGCACCAACATATCTAAAGAAAAAAATGGAGTCTGCTTTCCTGGCACAGTAAATACAGTGTGTTAGGCAGGCATTTGATAAGATCTCTTTACCCAGCCATAATGACATTACGAGTTTCCCCATTCAGAGCTCAGGTAACACAGCTGCATTTCAAGCAGATGACTAAGAAGGTTAAGTGCGGCATTTAATATCATCCATTATTGATCTACTTAACCTGTAGCACATGCCAAATTAGGTATGGAGTGCATGTGTTATTATATTTGAAGTGAGTGTACGTGAATTACATTTAGTGTGATTTCCGGACTCAATTTCATGTTTACAGCATAGTCTTATAAACATTCGTCAAAACAAAGGTGCCAAAAAGGGCTCTTTGGAGTGATGCCATAAAAGAACCACCTTTGCTTCCCTAAAGAACCTTTCAATGGATGGTACTTTAACCCTGACATAAAACCATGACTATTTCTGCCGTTTAATCTGCTCTTCTAAGTTAATCGCATGAATTCTAAACGCCATTGTTGTATTTATCTGACATGTAAAGAATGTGATCTATCAAAGCTGAAAATTCATAGAAAACATGATTTGGAATAGAAGTCAAATATCAGCATTGTTTTATAATTACCTTTGTTAAACAAATCAAGGTTAAGTGCTTACAAGCCCAAATTGTGCATCCGACAATAGAGGAAGCTTTGTATGTCTTTTATATAGTGATAGAAAACAGTGTAACAAAAGAAAGACCTGATTCTACATGCCGACATGTTTCATTTTGGCAATATGCACAAGCTTGCGCCGTAACTCTTCTAGCGGCAGATTTAAAGTTAAGAAAAGGGGCCATTGCAAAATTCTCAGAATGGATTGCCTGAGAGATGCTCAAGGACAAAGAAGCATTTTTTGTAAATTAGATCAGTACAGTAAATATCGGTATATTACTAGAACTGTATGTTTGAGCCAAGAACAATTTCAGAACCTTATTTTTAAGACTGAGTGTTACTTATAATGCATATTTTTATACAAAACCATTTTCACTCTTACACTTCTTTTCCAATACCGATACCAATACTGAACCCTTTGGTCAGATACCTGCCTGACAGTAACATGAGCAAATTTTAATTTAAGCAGTTCACTTAAGATGAGCATCTAAAAGTAGGCTATCATGCTCAGACTACTCAAAAAACTCCACTACCCCAGTAGTCTAGCGAGTCCAGATGTGATCTCGTAACGAGAACGTCTGTGGACAAGCATGACAAAATTTGGGCTAAATTTGAGTGGGAAGGTAGACTTATGGTGGGAACAAACTAAAGGTGAAATTTCTAAACCCATTCAATGCCTTGTGAAATGGAGCTTATTGTAGGGTGTGATGGTGCACCGACTTACATTGTCTGATGGACAATCATAACCCATCAATGTAATGAAAGTTAGCATGGTTGAAAACTCCCCCCAAAAACTGCAAATAAGCATGTAGAGGTACCTTGCGTGTGCAGAGAAAACATTACCTGTGGTAAAAAATAAACCTCATATAATGGAAAAACAGCTCTGTTAGCTAACGGTAGCATTTCACTACCTAGCTTGTTTTGCTTGTCTTACAGATCGTACTCCAGATGCCAAAAAAGCATAGACTAGAGGACTTTGGGGGTGGGTTTGACAGAGGGAGTGTACTGTTGTTTGCAGAAGATTTTTCCACAATACAGCACCAAAACATAAGAAGTTGTCCCCATACATACCTGTATTATGATTTAACTACCCCATAGGAAGAAATACACAGATGACAAGACATCACACAATGTGAGTGTGTGCTATTTCAGTCTAGATTTGTTACAGGATTCATTCCTTCGGATCACTGATCCAGCATTTTCTGCTGATACTGATCCGATACCGGTATCCATTGACACCGATATGACATCCCCAATTACTACAAAAAAAAAATGGAAGCGAATTTAAACACTCTTTTGAGTGAGTGGCCTAACATTATCATACTGAGTTAACTTCTTTGCATTTCAGACAGAATCTTTACAGGCACACGCCTTTTTACAAGTCCTCTTCATTGACTCCCTGTGTACGGCAAATATTAACACATTTCTTCCGACACCACGCAAAGCAAAGGCTGTTTTAGGCTTGAATGGGTGCTAATGTGCTATTAAGTTGTACATTTTTAGCATGAGGCAAAAGGGGTAGAGGGTGTAGTCTGTAATCAGGGGCAGAGTGTCTCTCAGCTCAGAACTGCAGTAACCCGCCATTAGCACACTCACGCACACACACGCAGCAATTTCCTACCCTCCTAGGACACTCAGGCCACAGCACCCACACCAGTGATGGAACAGCACCGCAACACCACACACAGTAACACACTGGGATAATTACCCAGCTCTGTGCTTCTACATTATTCAGAAGAAAATGTCTTGATGGTGCAAGTGTTGTGTTTGTGGCTGATGAGCCTTGTAAATTTAATCTTTAATGCCAGGAGGAATCATTCTGCATAGGTTGATTTGACATGCTCTCTAGTCTAGCAATATGGTGCGAGATTAAGTTCATTTCAAGTTCAGCCTCATTTTAAGAGTCAAATGTGCCTTTGTAAGCCTTAAATGAAAGAACATTAGGGTTTTATGGAGCTCCTCATATAATTTTTACCATTTGAGCTACTTGTGTCTTTACACACTTAAAAGTAAAGGTTCCTAAACGGTTCTTGTTCTCGACTTATGGTTCTAGGTAGAACCTTTAGAAGCTTTGCATGACGTTGAGATTCTTTCAACTTTAAAAAGGTCACACATCGCTTTAAAAGAACCACACATTGAACAGTTATTTAGGGAACCTGAATATCAATTGATGTTTAGATTCCCTAGACATCGCTCCAGAGAGCTCTTCAGCATCTTTACTTATAAGAGTGTACCCTGACTCCCCAAATGGCCCACCCACTGGCTTTATCGCTGTTCTCTTCAAGGGGACTCATCCACAGGCAGCATCTGTAATCTTCCAATCATTACAGCTCATGTCAGACTGAGCCCCAATGCAATAGCACATGAACACAGACTCTAATTTGGTTATGAGTGGCCACCATTTGAAAGTTCTGTCAGATCTTTAATGGGCATAGTCTGTGCTTGTGTGCTGCTGTGGTCCTTGGCCACGTCGGCTCGTGTCATTAGGCTTATCATTTCGCTTCTATTCCCCCCTTTCCTTTTTATGATGCTAATTGACTTAACATTATTGACTTTCCACATCAACATTACCGCAGCGAGGAGCTCACTTTAAGGATGTGCTCGCTAGGGAAGGAGGCTGCTGTTTGATGGGTTCTCCATGGGAGACTTATCACTCGCACAATTATCCTGACAGATTTGAGGATTGCTTTTTCCCTTCTTCCGCTGACTGATATGTTGGTTTTCTGCAGTCTGATAGATAATGATGAGGAGGGAGATGGAGTGGGGTGGAGAGGAGCACACACCAGATGTTTATCAGTTAATGAAGTGTCTGGGCTGGGCTATGGTGGTCCTTTCTCTATCCAGCGGTGCGCTCTGACCGCCATCTTGGTCAGTATAGCATTTGGTTCCCTATTTTCTGTGAGGTGAGGTATTACTGAGATGACTGATGGAGAAATATGAAGGTAGCGTGAACATCTCATGCTTCATTAACTTCTATTACTCACTACCAAGGTTGGGTGATATGGCGAAAATACGATATCTCAACACTTCTACCAAAAAAAATTTGGTAAATTAGAACAGACAGTTGTGGCACATTTATAAAATACCAACAAAAATATAAGTACAAACACTTTTATTCATCTAATTAAATCAGACTAATTATTCACTTTTAATCAAACATGCAGCTGGAAAGTGTTTTGTAAGTACTGACGATATCCATCATATGCTTAGAAAAGGATACTGTGACATTTAGTGATGTATCATTTATCACAATAATGATAAATATTGTCATATTGCCCAGCCCTACTCACTACTGTAACTTAATAATAACAATTATTTTGAATTGCTTTTCTGTGTAGTTACTGAATAATAAGTCTCAGGATAGGGACGTCCATCAATGTAAGGGAGATAAATTGCACACAGCATTGTTTACAGTAAAGAAAGTAGGCATCCCCCTGAGATCTTTCACAATACAATTTGGTATAACCAATGAATAGATGCATTAGCATGTATGTATTGGATGGGTTTAATGAGCCTTAAAGACTTGAAGAGTCTTTCTACCAGCAGACTTGTGCGATAGATGAGAGAAGCAAGTCTAACTTGCTTTCTTTGTCCTTCCTTCTTGACTCTTATTATACAAATAATTGCTAATAATGTCTTTATTGTCACTCTCATAAAGTGCTGAGACCTTAAGAATACCATGTGCAGACTGCAAAAGCAATTTACAGTCAGCATGACTGATGCGAAACATACGTTATTGGTGGAATTTTACATCACAATCATTTAAACCCATTTAACCCTCATTCCGCTTTGACATTTCTGCAGCGTGTGATGGACTAGTGTCTCAGAGCAGATAAAATGCACCAATTTGATCAAGCCACCAGGAAATATCATCTGTGATCTTTTCTTACTGGCCCTGAGAGAGACAAATCATATTTCCGTATCAGAGATTTTGTCAGAGAATGTAACAATGTTGTTCCTCTTTCATTGCAAACCAGCAACTGGAAAAGGACCGTCTTTGTACATTTTTAAAGACAACCTGACAGGCTGAAT